AGGGAGAGAGAGAGAGAGGGAGAGAGAGAGAGACGGATAGATAGATGTTATAGTTTCTTACTTCTGTTCACCATTGTGTTTCCTTTTCCTCGTGAATATAGCTTAATGGAAATGGTGCAGCCTATTAAAAGAACCATTTTCGCTCTCTTGCGTTTTTTAGGATTAAAAGAGAACCTTTCGTCTAACAGGTCCACGCGGCATGATAAAGAAAGTAGTGCAGATTGTCGATCAGAATCTGGAAAACAAAAAGCTAACGAACCAACTTTATCTAAGGATAAAGTTGATCGCTCGAAGCGTCGAAAACGTGGTCACTCTCAACGCAAGCGTGATCAATCCATTTCCTCGCAGGACTCACATCGTTCTCTATCTGAACCAGATTTGACAGTAATCTCACCGCACGGCAACAGTGATATTTCCGATGATAACCACAGGGCTCGATCATCATCACGTTTATCTTCTCATTCATCTCGCAGCAGATCGATTTATTCTTCTGAAAGTTCAACTTCTTCTCGTTGGCGTAGTTCACGGCACCATCGCCGTCATGGCCATAGACGGCGTCGTTCGAAGTCCTACAGTTCGGACACATCCTCTGGTGCCTCGTCCCACGCTTCACGTTTCGCTTACCGAGAGCGAACGAAGTCTACTTCCAGACGAAGTCGACGTCGTCGTCGTCGTACCCGGTCGTACCGAAGAAGATATCGGCGTCACAGTTATTCAAGCAGCTCACGTTCCAGGTCCAATACATGGGCTTCTTCTGGTACAAGCTCCCGTTCCTCATATCATTCATCTCGTTCGTCAGTCTCTCGAGCATCATCTATTTCTCGACGGCGGTCATCCACTACACGACGAACCCCATCACCTCAAGCGCCGGTACGTCGAAAGCCAGTTTCCAGTGCTACCAGACCTCACGTTTCTGGTGAAATTGGAAATACTGTTTCACCTGATCGGCGCCCCATTCACTCAAATCCCAGTTCTACCTCGCGCAATAAGGTTTCCGAATCGTCTAAACCTGCTACTTCTTCCTCTGCCACGAGTTCCTTCACCTTTGGATCGTTATCCGATGTAGCTGAAACAGTGTCGGCTGCTGTGAAACGTGTCACTGGAGGAAACTCAATGAGTAATCGTGAGTTCAATGCAAAAAATCTAAAAAGTAGTCTTATGTGACGTTTCCTGTTATTTGTTTGTACATTTCAATATGAATCTTTGTGCTTCTACTAACAAGGAATTTCGTGGAACTCTTTTTAGGATACAAACTGCTGGACAATAAATCTCCCCACAATCCAGTCGCAGCCAGCAACAAGTCTTCAGATGATGACTCTTCACATATTCCAGTAACAACTAGCTCCAGCACTTTGGTGGACATCCCGCTTCCCAAAGACAGCAGCCGCACCGACAGCTCTCGACCATCGGAATCTGTGCCCTACATAGGTCCACAGGTTTGTTGAGGATTATTATTTGTTGTGCATTTTTCTCTGGTTTGTTTACTCATGCAGAAAAACCTTTATGATGCGATGCAAACCACTTACGTAGCGACTATTATTTCTATTTCACAGCTTCCTCCTGAACTTGCTGAGCGATTTGGTTTGTCAATGGACAATGGTTTCTCTAGTACGCCTACTTCGGAAGCATCAGAACCATCCCAAATTGCCACATCAAATCTCCAAACGGATGTTGATAAAGAGCTAGGAGAGACACCGTCTACCTACAGTTCTAGTACAACGCAGAACTCCCATTCCAATTCACTAAACCTATCCATTCCTCCAGAACAGGTTGAACAGTATCGAGGTTAGTTTGGTTGCCAAACTGTCCCGCACCAACAACTTGCTTTTTCAAGTACAATTTAACCTCATTGATAGCTAGCGTTGTTTCATTTGTATTTCTCGTTAGAAAAGTGTTGCCTTATGAGACTCAATTTCGTTTAGCAGAAGAGGCTATTCCTCATTTTGCTCATTATCCGACATATCACAGGAGACGGATAGCGTTCGTGGTAAGAAGCCAATGATTCAAGTTCCTCATGTGTGCGAAGGTGATAATCTATAGAATTGTTATACTGCAGCGCACGTGAGTGAGGCAAAGATAGGGGGTGATCTGCTTGTATTTATGCCCGTGTAGGCTATATAATTTCTTAAGGGATCTGATAACTTCAGAAATCAACCATGGTAACCAATTAGGCCATGCTGCAACGTAGCCGTGATTGAGTCGTGCTTTACAGACAGAACTGGTACTTCATACGCCTTATTNGTGTCAGGTAGGGTATCTAAATCAGATGATCCATATAGTTTGCGAGCTTTCTACAGGCGATTTTAGCTTGGTGCATCTATGTATAAATCTAGTAGATTGTCACGAGAATACCAAATCCGTAAATCCAAAAGCAGCCATTTAACGGAGGTTACTTTTTCTTGGCAGTACGATGGCGGCGAAGTTTGACTGTTTCAAATATCATGTCCTTTCACAGCTCTACAGGAACAGGCGAAACAGCACGCTTTACGGCGGACCAATCTCTTCGTCTCAGATTCAACAGAGGTGCCAGGTCAGAGTGCAGATTATGATACTCAAGCTCAGCTGGCTCTCCTTCAACAACTGGGTCACAACTCTGCATTTATGTCAGCTTCATCCACCGCTGTTTCTGGTTCGGGCGTCCTTTTGCCTTCGCTATCAAGCACCGGACTTATGCTGAACAGTTTGGCTGCCCCTGTTACCAACACAAATAATGGCACTGGTGTGGCGGAAAGCTGGATGAACCAGCATCTCGCTCAACTTTCGTATGATCTAAACGCACGACAAATGTCATTAATTAGTGCGCATCAGGTACTTTGTAGTTTATCCCATTGGGAATATTGTCTTCGGCGATCACGTGTAGATATCTCATGCAAAACAGGTCTTATCATTTGAGATTTATTTATTTATTGTCTGTCTGCTGATCATGCTGCAAAGATCGCATTATTATTCGCTCATTCAGTCCCCCAACAATGTGGAACTACCGGTTGCGGTGGTCCAAGATAAGATGGTTTGTAATTGAATAGTGTTCTTGTGGATATAATAACTTTTTTCACTAATCGCTGCAAAAATAGTTATTTTGGTATTCGACACCATCATATCTTTGCCCTACACAATTTACCGATCAGCGGTAGGTGAATTCCTCTACAGTGTTTCCTATCACTCAGAAACGAATGACAGTCAAGTTTCGAACATCACAAAAACCATGGTAATCGCTCGAGATTACTTGACATTATTAGGACTGATGTTCATTTGTGCGGGAATAAACAAATAATAAATAAATGAAATCCTTGTTTTGCTAAGGAATGAACCTGCGATATGTGTAAATTGCGCCAAACTAGATGGCGTTTACTTCCAGAGTTAAAGTGCTTGTTTACATAGTATTTGTTTCATCCTGCCACGTTTCGAGTTTTTCAATACCTAGTGGGAATTCATAGAGAGAGATAACCCCGTGTTGCTTACACAAAGATAGAAAAGGCATTACGCATTTGACTAACGAGCAAAGTTAATGAATCTTATTCACTTTCTCTCCATAAGAGATATTTCTTGACCCATCTTAATTTTACTATTTAAAATATGGCTCACCGGACTTTTATGGCCTTGATCCGACCGTAAACATTCCGGACCTCGGTATTTTATATGAATGCGCAACAAAAGATTTCCCGTTTCGCATCCATGTATACAGATATCTTTCCCATTTGCCATTATTTATTCATGTTTTCGCGGTTTTTCCAGGCAAACGCACTGAATAGTCAAATGCAACGTCAACAATTCATTAACTCAGTTGCACAGATGACCTCTCCACAGTTGATGGTACGGACGGTCGGTGCCAATACATCTACTCCAACTGCTATTGCAGTTTCCAAGGCGTCTGCGTACGAGGCTCCCGGTGTACCTGCTGTGGTAGTGCCCGCTCAAATTCCACAACAGTTGCAGCAGGCTCAGTTGCAGCAAATGTTGAATGCAGCTGCAGCCTTCCAAGTCGCACAATCGAACAGTGCGGCGTCAATTCAAGCACAAGCCAATCAGTCAGCCGTCACATCCCATTTGTTGCAACAACTGAGTAATCAGCAATCTCAGGTAAATAAATTCTATCCACCTCAGGACCACTCATAATATTATTTCTCTCTTCAAAAATGCACATCCTTTCTTTTCCGCCACATGATGCATGATCTATTCCTCAGTATTTCCTTATCCGTGGGTCTCATGGGATAGTTTTGGCTTTTCATTCTATTTGCTAAGTGAATAGTATCAACACAATGGTCATGCAGTATTCAACTCATTCAAGGAGAAGAAATCTGTGCCTTTTTAACGGATGCCTTTTGAGCAATTATATACCGGCAATAATATTCTTGCGTGTTTCCCATGTAGCTTGACATCATCATCATCATTATTGTACAGTATAATACAGTGAAGCGAACTTCACTCATCGCTGCCCAACTCATATTGCATACAAGGTAAGTGAGAATGTCGAAGGAGGACAGGGATTGGATCTATTTTCAGGGATGGGAGAAGAAAGCGAACCTCCATGGTCAACACAGAGTAAACAGTCCAACTGTGCATACACACTATTTCAA